TCTTCCTGCTGCCCCTCATTGTCTGTTTTCTTGCCCCGTCTCACCACCCCCCGCCCGCTCCCCGATCTTGGGGGTCCTGGTGTGCAGGGAGGGGACTCTTTGCTCCGCCCACACGCGGGGTGAACGGGGTCTGGAGGCTGTGGGTCGGGTTCCTCCTGTCTCCCCCACATTTCTCTGCTACCCGGGGAGGCCCCCTTCCTCGCGGCCTCCTGGGGGCCCCCTGCCTCTCTGTGGGCGCCGTCTAACTAGTGTTCCCGCTTTCTCTGCTGCCCTTCGCTTATCTTTCCTCTTCCTCCTCTAACTCGGTCTCCTTCCTTTCCACCCCTGGGCGCCCCCAGCCCTGCACACCGCGCAGGATGGAGACCTGCGCCCGCCTCTGCCCCCTCGAGGCCCCGTCGGGGGAGGGAGAGACAGTAGCGGGGGTCGACACCCCCCAAACCTCGAAGTCTTCCATTTTTCTGGTACCTATTTACCCCCCTCCCCCCAACCCCATCCATCAATGAAGTCCCCCTTCCCATCTCAGACCCCAAACTCTGGCCTCTTTCAAGGGTCCGTCCTCCCCCTTGGACAGATTTGGGGGGCGTGTCCCAGAAATTCGTCCACCCCCCCTTATTAGGGGAGGAGGGGCGAGGTAGCACAGTGTTGTACACGGAAGCAGAAAGGCCCCCGGGGTGGGGTGGGGGGGAGGCCAGGGATTTTTTTTTGGGGGCTATGGGGAGGGAGGGTTGGGGGGCCCGGCTCTGTTATCTACCGTGTATCATATGTAAATACCAAACAGAAACTTCAATAAACTTTATTTCAAACACGTCTCTGCCTGCCCAGAGGGAGGGGCCTCTGCCCCCAGGGTCAGGGAATCAGGTTAGATTCGTCAAACAGCTTAATCGGCATCATTACGAACAGCGGGACTTGATAAAACAGGTAGGTCAGCAAAGGTCACGGATCAGGATCAATAAAAATGAGCTCCTGGGGTTGCTCTGCCCACGGACAAGCGTTAGCATTCACTGCACACCTACTATGTGTGAGCCCACACTTTCCTCTCCGGCAGGAGCTCGAGA